CTTTTTGGTGGGCCAAGTATGTCACATTGTCGGAGCTGCATGCATCCTGGTCTGAACTGTCGCTCTCTATGATCTGCATACATGCTGGCCTGAACTGTCGCTCTCTATGATGTGCATACATCCTGGCCTGAACTGTCTCTCTCTAAGCGTGTGATGGGCAAGTCAGGCCTCATTATAGGTGGAAATCTATAAATTGTTTCCACTTTTACCATTTTTAAGGTCCGAAATGTTCTCACTTGTAAGGAATTTTCGCAATCAGGTCTCTCCGGCTTACTTGAGGCACATGCGACCCAGCAGAGACTGTCGTTGCTTCATCCAGACTCCATACGGACCTCTACCGACTTCCACGGACCAACCCATTGGTGCTGGAGCAAGCGGACGTCGAAGCCACCCGATCGCTTCGACTGACACGGCATCGTAGGCCCGAAGAAGGCTCGTATGGTCTACGACCAGTCGTGGTCGTTGAAATACGCCATGGAGGTCACCGAAAGAAGCTCGGGCGATGCTGTCACCTCCACGATCTGCCTGTTCTGCAAGTTCCATGGCCACCAACTCGACATGGACATGGAGGGCCGCCAGCGAGCTGCCACGAAGGGGCCGCAGTACCACACCTCGTGGCGCACAGACCTCTTCCTGAAACATATCACCAGTCAGCACGCCGACTTGTGGGATGCGTACTAGAACGAGTCCATCGACGGCAAGAAGGCAAGTTTCAAAGGCCGCATCGTTCTCAGTAATACACTCTGCAATTGGGATCTCACAGGCGACGTGTTGGAGTTCAGCATGAGCAGTGAGACGGTCGAGGTCGTGATCACCGAGTTAATGTTCCGGCCTGAAGACAAGATGGCAGCTCTGGACAACAACATGGACGAGATTACGATTGCCGTCGCTCGAGCATCTACCGCCGGCATTGCCCAGTTGAAGCGCAACGCTCTGCTCCTGTTCAATATCGAGGAAGACGGGTCGTACAAGTCTACACACCATGATAAACGTCGATCGATTCAAGCTTGCCATCAAGCTCGTCTCGCACGGCCTGTCGTTCCGGCAGACTGCCAACGCCATGGAGACCGTGCGCGCCACCTTCAACCTCGACAAGCTGACCGGCATCAACGACAACATGGTCGACCCGTTTGTCCGTGTCCTCGTCGGCGTCTCCATCTTGAAGATCGGCGATCTAATTGCTACGGACGATGTCTGGGCGATGTCGATCAGGTTCGACCGCAGCAGTCACAGCGAGTCGACGTTCTTTGACTTGCGCGTCCGCCTCGGCGTCAAGGGCATGCTGCACAACCTCCATCTGATCGCCATGCCGCACTTCGACAGACACACGGCCAACCACCAGATCGTGATGTTGAAGAAGCTGCTCTCTGCTGTCTACCTCTCGTGGGCCGACAAGCTCCTCACCGTCTCCACAGACGGTGAGCCGACCAACATGGGTCGCAAGTCAACGACGCGACACCTGGACGGCTGTCAGTGGATCGACACAACATGCGCCTTCACCGTCTTTTCTGCGCCGGCGGGAAAACCTCATCACCGAGATGGGCGTCACGTGCCCAAAGAAGACGAATCGGTGGATGCACCTCTCCCATGCCTTGGCGTTCTTGATCAAACACGAGAACCGGATCGTGGACTTCTTTGCCGAGCGAGAAGCGCAAGCAGCTGGCGGCCGTCCTCCCGTCCTCATCCCGCTTTGGTGAACGATCACATACGCGATCGCGCCCGCCATCGTGCGCATCAATATCACGTTCGCCCAGCTGGTGTGCAAGTCCATCGTGATCTGACTGCAACGCACGATCGTCAGCGAGCTCGTTGCCGATCTGCTGATCATATACTACGTGATGCACGTCGACGTCGCCGACGTGGACCTCAATGACCTGGACGAGTCAGACTACCTGCTCATGGACGAGCGCTTCATCCTCAACCAATCGTTGAGAGGTCACGTTGAAGATCAGGGATCGCAGGCCACGTCGCACCTCGGCAAGCCGATATGAAGATTGTCATTGCCGAGATCGGCAACTTTGTCCTGCCGACGATCATGGGCCAGGTCGCCATGCATGCGGAGCGCAAGGCGGCAAATGAGGCTGGAGAAAACGCGCCGCCCGTCATGCCGGCCGAGCTCGTCAAGGAGATCATCGGCCGACATATGAACCCCCTGAACATGTTCTCGACGGCCGACGCATCTACGCGACCGAGGAGGAGCATCGCCGCCTACCGCAACGAGCGGAATTTCCAGTCGAGCATTGACGGGCATGATCACACGACCGAGTTCAACGACGCCTGGCGCCTGTTCAGCGCCGGTGGACGGTTCGAGCTTATGAGTCGGTTCTGTGTCGGGTTGGCTACCGCGCTCCCCAACACGACGTCGTTCGAGTCCGACTTTTGCATTCTCAAGTGGGAAAAGGACGCGTATCGCGAGAACCTCCTCGACCTCTCCTTGGAGGGCATCTTCCACGCGAAGCAATTCGACCTGTTGGGCTCGTTGTGATAAACCCGCCTCACAAATGGGCAATTTTGGGCTATATTTCGTCAGTTCCACTTTTAAGGACCACATTCCCACTTTTAACCTAAAAGTGGGAAAAGTAAAAATTTCCACCTTTAATGGGCCTTGGGCTAGTTTCAGCTAAGAGGAGACACGGGAGAGCAGACGAAGAAAACTGATACATCTCTTGAATTGTGGACACATGGCGATTTAAGTGGAAGCAACACACATCGAATGTTCCATCGGCAGTATACAAAGGTAAGAAAATTTGAAGTCTGGTCGTTCAGATAAATTCTGACTTAGGGATTTTCAGTCCGGTTATGATTCCATCATTGCAGAATGTCGGTTGCTAGGTTATCCGAACTTTCCGAAGGCTGCGTTGGCCCTACACATACACACTGTCACGGGATAGAGTGATTCGACTCGCAGATCAGGAGGTACTGCCGGTTACATAAGGGCTGGTAAAGTCGGCAAGGAGAGTTGACTGCTAGTGCGGAAGGCGTTCGTTCGTTTCCCGCAGGATTTGGGGGCTGCAGAGGCTATCATCGGGGAAGGCCGACCAGTCCCCATAAATTATCTGAGGTATTCATGCAAAACACTACCGAATCGAACTCACCGCATGCTATACTTGGTTCCAACTATCGTCCATGGCATTTGATCGTCCACGGAGACCGACCAAGTTGCGTTATCCGTGAGATTCAGCGTCAAGACGTGTCATTTATGTGTCTGGGTCGAGTCGGTCGTGAGAGTTGGTCGCTAATGGCCGGCACATTGAAGTTGCGCGGGTTGTGCAGTCGGCCGTGTCCTCTCCTGTTGGTTATATCCACCGTGGGATGTTGCTATACAGCAGGCTATGCACGATGTGACAGGGGTCACATCGTACATAGCCTGCTGTATCGGACAGGATTATGTTGCTTCGAGCCGTGCCATATGTAGTTGTGTTTTTGTTGTTTCTTGGTGAGCCATGCTGATGAAAATGTAGTTAATATTGTGCAAAATAGTCACTTCAAGCACCACTCAATTGGAGTTTCTTACCGCAGCCTGTCTGTCATTTGCTGGAAGCACTTTCTGGCCCGCACTCGACGGGATGAATGAGATGTATTCTAAATGTGTTGCAAATCCTTCCATGCTCCATTGACATGCATGGCAACTTGATGTTGACATGACTGCTTGCAAATGCAGCGCCGCCTCGACGTGCGGAGTGCGCTGCAAGATCCTTGGCATGTGTTGAATCTTGATCAAACTTGTACCACTCTTCGAGAACTCAATTTATTTGTGCAGCAACACGCGACTAATTTTTCGCATCCAAGATGTAGCAAGCACCTTGTAAGCAGCGTAGATTTGTCGGCGAGTAGCTGGCAAGCCGAGATGTGATGAGACCGATCGGCCAATTGTCAGGTGGGCGAAAGATTGAGAGCGATTGTTGTTGACGCTGCTCCGGTCCAGTTCGCCCTGAGCCCAGTCCAACCTTGCTGAGGTCGGCAGCTGGATGCTGAATCAATCACTATGGGATGACTTCGTATGGGATCACCTGGTCGGACAATTATCCTGTTATCGGTCGTCGTCCCGGAGTCCTGGCGTCCTGGCAAGTTGGTACTGCATTGAGGGGAACGAAGTGAGCTGACATGAAGGTAAGAGAAGTAACTGAGTTTGATTTTTGCATTTCTTCCTGAAAGGAAGACGCCTAGCCGGCAAACAAGGCGCGGACGCACAACAAAGATATCTTCAGTGCATTATGAGTCTGAAATGACAGTGATCACGAAGAACAAGACCGATCGCGTTCGTCTGGAGGCAACGACAGGTCACGGTCGAGGGAGCGTGGTCGTACCTCCCGACACAGACGTGTGGCCGACGTGGAAACTTCCAGCCGGTTCCTGCACCGTTCCGATCCCCGCGGCGACGCCATCCGAAGCCGATTGACGTGGCCATGCCGTGGAGCGGTTATTCTCGAGCAACTGGGACGCCACAAGACTCCAGCCAAGTCCCCCTCCCAGCTGGTGAGGAAGAAGTGTCTCCTGGTCCGTCGTCTCGACTAGAGAGGGCGGGTGCCCGTAATGGCGACCAGGATACGACGACATGGGTGAAGACGCCCCGTATGTGGTACATGAGCTGGCAATTCCCCCAGCCCCGAGCTTTAGTGGCTCAACGAAGCAAGAGCGTCGCGCTTTATGCGGGCGTACCAGATATATGTGACGCATGTCAACGCGCTGCAGACAGCTGGAGCGAGACCGTTAGTTATGCCGGTGTCCGCGTGCATGGATCATTTCACCAAGCGGTGCGTGGCGCTGTGGGATTTTAACCGACCTTACGATATTCGAAGCTGTGGGACTTTAACCGACCCTACGATCAAATCGTGGAGTCTGAATGATTTGCGTTGTTTAACGAGGCGTTCGAGAAGAGCCCCGTGATCTGGACTCAATGAAGAAACGCCTCAAAACGACGATCCGTTTCGACGTAATGATCTCGTGTTGGCAAGATGCTAGACGAACTCATGAAGGCTCTGGAGCGCGACAACCAGGAGTGGATCCTCTTCGGGGAGGGCAAGGATGTCGTGGACCTTATTGTCAAGGATGTCGTGGACCTTATTGTCAAGGCGGTGCGGCCTTCGATGCTACAGTCGGTCGTAAAGAAGCAAATTCAACTACAGCGCAACAAGCCGTTGCGTATGGATGTGTTTTCGCTTCGTTCGTTGGCTGCGGACGTTCGCAGCCGGCTACCAAATGTACGGCGAGGTCGAGGACGAGGAAAAGTCCTCCAAGCCTGCAAAAGCCCCTGACAGCCGTGGCCAGGCGTCGAAGAGGCCTGAAGAGAAGAGGCCGGACGGGGAGCAGGACAGGCGAAGGCTAGGTCCACGGACGGGGTGGCCAGGCCGGACGCACCGTTCGCCCCTGCGAGGAAGCCGGTGGCATGTCTGAAGTGTAAGTCCACGGCCCATAAGGTCACATACTGCCCATAGACTGCCCCTGGTGAGGCGCAAACCCTCCTAGCAGCGCAGATGCAAAGTAAGGATGCCCGTGAGGCGCGTCCGACTGCAAATGTAATCGATCTCGGCACGACCGGGTTGAAGATCGAAGGAGGAGTCACCGTGGCGGACGTCGTCGTAGTGGACAACCTGCTACATGACACGAGTGCCAACGTCAACGTGGCATCTGTGGGGCTGGTTGCGTCTCTGGAGAAGGAGAGCGTGGCGACCCAATTGTTTACGACACGCCGACGGCCCTGTAACCGTACGGCAAAGCGACCAAGCGCGTGCTCCTAAGCCGACGTTTACGCCTGAGCGTGGCCATCACGACGACGTGCGGTCCTCTCCTCCTGCGTGGCTTACCCGTCTGGATCGACGATGAAGCGGACGACGACGTCGCGCTGATTATCAGTGGTCCTCTGATGGAGTCCCTAGGATTCTCAACGGACGCGCTCCTGGTCTATGTGCGCTCGCTCAAGCCTGAGTGAGACATGTCCGACAGCGAGTTCCTGCCGTCTGTAGGCCCTGCTGTCAATCGGGTGTGTGCGTCCCAGCCAGCCGTCCAGGACTTTGACCCCAAGGCGGGAATGGAATGCTCAACCCCTGTTCTGAATGTGCTACCAGGAGGGTCTAAGAAAGACTGACATCGCAGATGCGAGTCGGAGGTGAAGGCTATGCTTGGGTCGAAGGTGGAGGAAGCAGCGAAACATTGGTCTGGGCGAGGACGAGGTTGAGCGCCTCGAAAACCTACTGTCCAAGTTTGTCGATGTGTTCTGAACGGATGTCGGGAGCGACCCCCCGATCAAGGTGGAGCCTCTACAGGTTCGCCTGAAGCCAGACGCGGTCCCCGTCAAGTGCATGATGCGTCGGTACCCACCCGACCCCGGGTAGTTCTTGAAGCGACATGTCGACCAGCCCGAAGACGCCAGTCTGGTCTACCGAAACAATCGGGCGACGTGGGCTGCAGCGCCTCGGATTTTGCCGAATAATGACCCAGGCGATCTGCGCATGACTATCGACATTCGTCCGATCAATGGCTGTACGGTGCCTATGCCGTGGCCGATGCCAAACCTGGACGCCGCGATGGTCGTCCTGGTCGGTACCTCGGTCTACTTTACCCTTGACTGGACGAAGGAGTAATGGCAGCTGCCGTTGCATCCGGCCAGCCAGGAGCTGTACTCGTTCATGACACCCTGGGGCGTGTTCACGCCTACGCGTGTGCTGATGGGACAGACGGAGGCCGTTGCGTTCTGTGAATCTGCTGTCCATCATATGTTCGGCGAGCTCCTCTTTCGCGATGTACTCGCCTAGCTGGACGATCTGCTGGGTGCCGCGACCGCGCCAATGGGTCTGTTCGACCTGCTGGAACAAGTCCTAGAGATATACGAGTCTTTCGGATTGAAGCTGCACCCGAAGAAAGCCGCGTTTTTCTACTGGAGGTCGAATGGTGCGGCAATGTCATATCGTCTGCTGGTGTGACCCATTTCCCTGCCAGGGTTCAAAGGTTGTGCAATATGACAGAGCCAACGACGGCCGCTGACCTCCAGCAGTTCATCTGTGTGACCAACTGGACGGTCGAGCATCACGGGGTACATATTGTCAACTCATTGACCCATTTCGTCGACTCCTCGACGTTGGTATGAAGTTGTCCCGGAGTGCCAAACGGACAGCGCTGGCCAAGGACCCGGTAAGTGACATGGAGTGGGCTGCCGAGCACACGACGTGCTTTTGAGGCTGTCAAGATGCTTCTGACCAGCATCGTCCCGCTGAGTCACCCTCGACAAGACATGGCTGTGTGTTTGTTCACCGACGCGAGAGAACGATTCTGGGGTGCGGTTGCTACCCGGGTCCCACCCGAAGACCTCGAATTGCCTCTGTCCGAGCAGCGCCACGAGCCCTTGGCGTTTCTGAGTGGCTCGTTTGTGTCGTCAAGTTCGCGCTGGCCTATTGTAGAAAAGAAGTCGTTCGCCGCCGTCGAAGCTTGAACACGCCTAGACTACATGTTGATCCGTCCCGGTGGGTTCCCTCTGTTCATAGACCACCGGAATCTCGTGTACATCCTCAACCCGCGGGGCCAGAGCTCCTACAAGGCGAAGTACCAAGCTGACAAGCTCCAGCACTGGGCGTTAGTGATGTTCACCTTCCCGTACAACATCGAATCGGTGTCGGGTGAAGACAATGTGTGGGGCGATCTACTCAGTCACTGGGGTGCGATGCCAGCGGTGGCTCGTGTGCGACGTCTGGCGGCGTTAGTTTCACCCCTACGTCACAAAGATTTCGAGTGGTCGACGGCCCAGTCGGTCCTCAAGTCTCAGAAAAGTCGACTCCGTGACGACGGCCAACCACCTGACGGAGTGACCTAAGACGACGACATGAAGTTTTATGTCACCACTAACGACAAGATTTGGGTCCCGGACGACGACCTGGATCTCCAACAGCGGCTCTGTGTGATTGCCCACCATGGAGCAGCTGGTCACTGTCGAGTGGCAACAACGAAGCAATCTGTCGCGGCGAAGTTCGAGTGGGCCACGCTCAAGGCCGACGTAGCCGACTTCGTAACGGGGTGTCTACATTGCATATGTGTGGATGGCGATATGGTGCCCCGTCCCTTGGGTTCCGCTCTGCAAGCTGAGCGTCCCAACGAGCTCATACATTTTGACTTATTGTCTCTACCGAAGTCAGACGAAGGCTTGCAGCACGTGCTTGTAGTCAAGGATTGCATGAGTGGCTTCGTTCGATTGTTTCCGCCCCGGACTGCCGACGCCACGGCAACGGCTGTCGCTCTCGTGGACTGGTTGATGACGTCTGGAATAGTCAAGACATGGGTGTCCGACGGCGGGTCGCATTTTAAGAATGAATTATCGAGAAGGGGCGCAAGTGTTTTGGCGAGAACCACCGTGTAACGACGGCGTACAGTCCATGGGCTAATGGATCCATCGAAGTTGTCAACAAGATGCTGCTTCAAGCCATGAAGGCATTGCTGAGTGAGTGGCGATTCCCTGCTACGCAGTGTCCAATGGTGCTACCCCTTGTTCAAGGTGCCCTCAATCACCAGCTGTCGAACCGGCTTGGCGGCTTCTGCGACAACCTTGGTGGATTCGACGCAACCCCACAGTGTGTCCGGGATTGTGCATTCGACGACCAAAGAAGTCCGGGACGTTAAGTGGCTCGACAAGTCCAAAATCAAGCACATACAAGACCTCCGAAACTCGCTAGACGAGATGCACCGTGATGTGTCGGCCTGTAGCGAATAGCTACGTGGCCAGACGAGAGCTAGACACGCGAAGAACAAGGCATCAAGTGGACGAGCTTTGACGTGGGTGATTACGTCTTTGTTGGGCCGGTCGTGCGACACCCGAGTAAGTTAGCCCTGGTATGGCGTGGTCCATCAAGAATCTCGCGAGTTGTCACAGATTTTGTGATGGCGACTGAACAGCTGGTGCCCTTTTCACGAATCTGTGCACCATGCCTGCCGTCTGAAGTTGTACAGAGAGGCAGCGAACGGCACAGTCGAAGACTTGCTGGAACAAGTTGCCTACCATGAAGGTGGTTTCCATGTGGAAGACCTTCTGGCAGCCCGTGTTGTCAACGGGCAGCATGAAATCCTGGTCAAGTGGCTCGGCCTCGAGGATGAAGAGGCGTCGTGGGAGCCAGCTCTCAATTTGTACGAAGACGTTCCCGTACTGAAGGGGCGTCGTGAGAGCCAGCTCTCAATTTGTACGAAGACGTTCCCGTACTGCTGCGCATGAGGGTGTTGTCCCATGAACATGACGACGGCGTGGAAGCGATGCGGGAGGCGTTGGAACTGACCCTCGGTCACCCATTGTAGGAGGAAGTGCTCTGGTCGAGCGCACCCCGCGTCCAGTCCAACCTCGCTGATGTCGGTTTGTGGATGCTGAATTAATCACAATGGGATGACTTAGTACAGGATGACCTGGTCGGATGGTTATCCTGTTATTGGTCGTCGTCCCGGAGTCCTGGCGCCCTGACAAGTTGGTACTGTAGTGAAGGGAAAGATGCGAGCTGACTGGGAAGGTAAGAGAAGTAACTCAGTTTGGTTTTGCATTTCTTCCTAAAGGAAAGTCGCCTTGCGCGCAAACCAGGGGCGGACTCACAACAGACGCACAATTAATATGCACTGCCATATTAGCTGGGGGCACAGTATTCGTTTGACTGTTCTTACCAGTGAGGTCATTCAGCAAAAAGATGTCCATCCGATGCAGGTCCTTGAAGATCAAGTTGCTAATGCCAGAACTTCTTCCTAGGAACTGCCACTGATTGTTCATTAGCGTTCGGTCCATCAGAGACCGGAGCCTTTATGGACGAAAAGAATTCGACACAAAGTGGACAGATCATCCACAGCCATTTTTTACCCGTGCTCAATTAGAATCTTACCTGTCTTAATGTTTTCCAACACGTACTTCTGATGCAAGTTTCGTCTGCATCTATGAAACCAGTCACTTACTCGAGCAAACAAGTCGATCTTGCGTTTTTCTTCGAAATGACGCTTTATGGTAGTTCATGGAAGTTTACTCGTGTGAATCGCCTTGCAACACAAACTTGCAGAACTGCCCCACCAAGAACTAACTCACGTCCAGCTTCTTGAGCGTCTCGATTTTCTGGAGCCGTCTGACGAGATCAAAGAACACATTGAACTTTCCCCTCGCTGAAGCATCTAGTATTTGAGAGGATTTGTCGCGCTCACTATCCTGCAGGTCGACAATAGCATTAAATAAACTTGAGCTCATGGCTTGCATTTCGCGAATTTCGACACATGAGTGCTTATCCTTGAGATATTTTGTACATATCTTCGGCGCCAAAGCAATCCGAAGTTCACGGATCGAATCCATGTTGACGACGTACCATACTGTACAGTACATCTTTGTGCGAGATAGTACTGTGCAAGTCATGTAAGCACTGCAAAAGTAGGCTTGCGCTTGGACTACTGTTACAATGTACAGTATATATTTTTGAAGTAGAGCCGCAACATTGATAGATCTAGACAGGTCCAACACAAGTTGCGATTCGAATTAATGATGTTTGATAGGTGGCGGATTCATTCGATCCAACTCCGATTCAAGTGGATCTGGCAAGACCTAGCGTACGGCTGATTGTTTGAATTTATTGCAAAAATTCCAGATTTTACTACGTCAGGATCAACTTCGATGTCCAGCGACAAGATTACCGTGGAATACTGTTCCCACGTTCACTACCGATGTACCTTACACCAAGAACATGCTGGCCTTTGTATGTGGGCAGCAAACTCCCGCTATGATATTCTGGTTTCCACTCTACATTGACAAGACAATAGCACATTGAATGCATAGAATTTTTAGCTGTTTATATGATTTGCAACAAGTTACACTAACGTTATACGTAAACCATGATGGATTCTTCATTTGCATATAAGAAAAACCTGCAATTAACCGGATAAATTTGAAAATTGTACGGATAGTTAATGCATACAAATATCAAGATAATTTTCTTCCAACATACTTCTGGCACCATCTGTGGTGGATATCCTAAAATGACTACAATAAACTACCTTACATTTCGACAAATATTTCAACCATGAATTGGCATTTTTCTATAAAGGAGCAGTATTCGAAAGTTCTGGACAAACCAAACAACTTACAGCTCCGATAATCGCTAGATAGTAATTGAGTAACTGATTATTGCGGGACTTTTAGTCGTTTCGTAGAGATTCACCGAGGTCAAGTTCAAATTGGCGCACATGGATATCTTGATGTTTGGATGCTATTCATTCTACATACGAAAATCTCGAGATTGCTTTGACGTTAATTGTGTCAGGTTTACTCAACATACTTGACGTTGAACAATTACAACCACCGGCGGAGTGGTTCGCCAATTGAAATGTTGATAACGACATCAGTAGAGTCAACTGATTGGACGATGTAATTCGAATATCGGTTGATGTAATAGCCAATAAACCATGTTCACAATTTGTATTCGAGTTGTCGGAATCATATTTTCCAAGTGTATGAAATTGTCGGGAGAGTCTCTGCCGTTTGAATAACATACATGTGACTCAGGAGGTGACGGAGATTTTATTGCAGACGGATCCGACTTGTTTGCCAGTCCATTTGGTGTTGATTAATCCACTGAATGAAATGCATTATTGTGAATGCACCATTGTGGAGTCGCATTTCTTGATGAAGTTCTCTGGGCTCTGGTCTGGGAAACATTCGCCGCATCCTCCTGGCTTGATCTTTTTCCGTTTCTTGTTTTCACCGTAATCAAGAATCTTGAACCGCAACCCTACCCTGTTTCTTCCAGTTCGGCGCAGGTGCTAAGTTTTGACGACAACTTTGTAGTCACTCAAAAAATCATGAGTGCGTTGGCCTTGACTATGGACAATATGATGTATGAACAATTTGGTCGATGCTGTGTTTGCATGGTCATACACTCCGGCGGCCACATAATTTTCGACCCAACATTCATACTGTAATCCCCCGCCCGAGGGGAAATTATCACTGGCCAATCACACGGCTTGATTTTGCTTACCAATACCGCAAGTTGTAGTCTCTACGTACCGATCACCGTTTATCATAAGTGGGATCAGATTGTTTAGACATTAGTAATACTGTACCACCCAGCATCCAAGCGGATTACAGTAAGGTAAATTATGTAGTCTCTGCGCCCAATGCAGATGGCGCGTGCACGAACAGCGAGATGACGTCGTACCACATGGCACTCTCAAGTGTGTCAGTGACAGCTGCATTGTGTTCTCTTCATGAACACAGGAAAACGAGTGACTTGGATTCGCATTGCCGTTGCGACTAGGCGGAATGGGTGAAGTTGTGCCGCCCACCGCATCCTGGACGATTGATTGCATATACCATGGATAAGACACATGTGGCGCCCGCACCAACGAAAACGAGGCGACTTGATTCACTTTCGCTTTCACCAACCATGGTATCATTGCTTCGCGTTGGCGCGACGGCTGCAGCCCTCGTAGTGTGTTTGGTCTCGGGCCAGACATGCTCCGTGCAATGGAATGTCGACTTCGTCGGCCACGACATCTCGACCTCCAAGCGTTCGAACCCGTTCGACTGTTGCGGTGACTGTCGCAATACGCCCAAGTGCAAGGCGTACAACTGGTTTGACGGCATTTGCTACCTCAAGTCTGCCCAAGGCGCTACCATTCGTCTTTTTGGCGGAGTGTCCGGAGTTCTAGACAAGTCAACCGCACCGACTACGACAGTTCCAGGTGACGGAAAGTGCTCTATTCTGCTCAACGTGGATTTCGTCGGGAAGGATATCCGAACCACCTTCCAAGCTGACCCTACCTACTGCTGCGCAGACTGCCAAGCAACCAAAGGATGCAAAGCATACAATTGGTTTGATGGCGTGTGCTACCTCAAGTATGAGAAGAGACATTCGTTTCCTTTGCCTGGTGGAGTTTCTGGTGTTCTATCGGTGGTGCCTCCGACCAGCAAGCCAACCCCAGCACCTACTGCCAAGCCAACACCTGCACCTACTGCCAAGCCAACCCCTGCACCTACTACCGCACCTACCTTATCCCCTACTTCGGCACCCACATCGGCTCCAACTCACGCTCCCACGGACGCGCCGACGTCGGCACCGACGAGTGCCCCTACTGTCGCACCGACGTCTGCACCCACATCGGCTCCAACTCACGCTCCCACGGACGCGCCGACGTCGGCACCGACGAGTGCCCCTACCGACGCACCGACGTCTGCACCCACATCGGCTCCAACTGACGCTCCCACGGACGCGCCGACGTCGGCACCGACGAGTGCCCCTACCGACGCACCAACCTCCGCACCTACTGTAGCCCCAACGACTGGGCCAACACTAGCTCCGAACCCATCCTCGACTGTTTCGCCGACCCCCGTACCCACTGCTTCTGTACCATTGGCCGAAAACTTTTACATCCACCACGATGGGTACTCGCTCCTGTTCAACTGCGCGCGCCGCACTGCGGACCGTTGGAACTACAC